CCCTGTTCTTCTTGTGCACAGTTTGATGCAAAATGTTAATGCGATGACGCCACGATTGGTAAGTGAGGGGGACATATATTCTTTGACTCTGTTTACAGTATATAAAAGATCGATCGACTAAAAAGAGACTAATCGCAAAAAACCGAGTGAACGCCAGAGCGAGTGGCCTTTAGTAATCTGGTTTAGATTTCTTACGTTAACCCTTGTTTCCCACTGGAGTTCTCTACCGAAATGGTAGCGTCCAATCAGCGAAACTATCATCGCGTGACGTCGGCATATATTATCCATCACGTTCACATTAATTTCTATGTAGTACGAATATCTATAACATTGAACGAAATGAGTTGGACAGGTTCATTTTATATACAGGGAAAGTCCAATTATCTCACTTACAATTGTTAGCTCAATGTAAATTAGATTTGGATGTGATCTTTTGTATTAATCATTTATATGTTCATCTCATAAGCAAAGCTAATTTACGTCTTTTACCTTTTCTAACATGTTTTGATAATGAACGAATCACGAACGAAATCAACTGGAAGATGGCCATTCTGATTGGTCAATAAATCCAAAGTCATGAATAACTCATGCGCGCAGTTAAAGCCAGACTCCAAAAGGCCTCGCGGCTAAATGCCACTCGATCGCGCGTTCAACCCGGGTCTCTAGACACATCTCAGCCGCTGATTGGGATTAAAAATAGCCAGAGTCACAAGGCCTTGTCAAAAGGCTAGACACCTACCCGCTGGACATCCACCCCTTGGTAACCGCCTCCAGTCAACTACCCCCTAGGAAAACTACCCCCTAGGGCAACCACCCTCTACCCAACTACACGCAGACAACTCTACTAGGGGGTAGTTGTCCGGGGGAAGTTGTCCTGGGGTCAGTTGTCCTAGGGGTAGTTGTCTGGGGGTAGTTGTTCGGGGGTAGTTGTCCCGGGGGTAGTTGTCCAGGAGTTAATTGTCCTAGGGGGTAGTTGTCCGGGGGTAATTGTCCTAGGGGCTAGTTCTCCTAGGGGTAGTTGTCTGTGGGTAGTTGCAACCATCCTCTACCCAACTACACCCAGACAACTCTGCTAGGGGGTAGTTGTCCGGGGGAAGTTGTCCTGGGGTCAGTTGTCCTAGGGGTAGTTGTCTGGGGGTAGTTGTTCGGGGGTAGTTGTCCCGGGGGTAGTTGTCCAGGAGTTAATTGTCCTAGGGGGTAGTTGTCCGGGGGTAATTGTCCTAGGGGCTAGTTCTCCTAGGGGTAATTGTCTGTGGGTAGTTGCAACCATCCTCTACCCAACTACACCCAGACAACTCTGCTAGGGGGAAGTTGTCCTGGGGTCAGTTGTCCTAGGGGTAGTTGTCTGTGGGTAGTTGTCTGTGGGTAGTTGTCCGGGGGTAGTTGTCCAAGGCGTTAGTCGTCATAGAGGGTGGTAGCCCTAGGGGGTAGTTTTCCTAGGGGGTAGTTGACTTGGTGTGGTTACGCATCCCGGGTGGATGTCCAGGGGGTGGGCGTCCTAGAACCATAAGAAATATATTGACTGCTTTAATATTAAAAGCATAGTTGTTTCAATAGGCTCTCGGGGACGTTACCTCCTGTTATGATCCCTCGGCGCGGCGCGCTTTAGGGGTCATAGCAGGATGTAACGTCCCATTGAGCCTATAGAGACAACTATATATGTCTCTCATAACAGTCAATATATCTATACTAATAAAAACATATTTAGATATTTCTCTTTATACTGAAAATTGGATCAAATTTTAGGTTAGTTCGAATAGTAACAGTAACATAGTTTGAAACGTGTACGTTGGAATATATCAAAGACTCCTTTTCATTAGTATTAAAGAATGGACAAGGACCTAGGTCAATGCAAGTAAGACCTTTTTTAGTCTGATAGAGTATAAATTTTAGATCTAAATCTAGCATTGAATTTAGATTTTAATCTATGACTATGGATCGTGCTTGGATCAATAAGAGATCTCAGTTTACACCGTGCTATATTGCCACTTGAAACAGGTTATTTTATTGTATTCAAATCTGCAGGAAAGATATCAACAGACTCATGAATAAATACATGGTTTATGCTATCAATAAATGAATTTAGTTCTCTAATACATGTAAAATAGTTTCCTTTCCTTTTCTCACTGCATGAATTATCCATCTAAAATAACAACTCCAACCCCTTTCAGAAGCCTGTGTTTCAACTGAATTCAACTAAACTTTCTATCTTTTATATTATTGTTGTGTTGTATTTAAACATTCTAACATGCCAAATAAGATGATAAGTTCATTGTATGTCTCACGAACTGCTGTTATCTCATAATTAATTAATCTCCAAAGAGCAAATATTACTTGCCCTCCTGGGTTCTAACAAGTAACAATTTTCAACCTTGTCCATCGCATTTTTTGATGAGACAATTGTATACATTACAATTCATCATATATTAGAATATCTCTTTGAGTTTGAGTTTATTGGTTTCACATTTCACATGCAGATATAATACAGATAACAAAATATACATAAAAGACATATTGTTTCATAATTCAAAAAAATGATTATAGTAATTTACAAATTGTTTATATCATATCATATTTTATATGTACAAAACTCTAAATAGCTCTAAAAGCATATTGGTTTTCCTTCAAATTATGCGCCACTTATACAATTCGTAAAACGCCACCTACGGTCAAACCAATTACAATTACACGAATGCAATACACTCCAACTCCTGGGGGGGGGGGTGTTTCACAAAGATCCTAAGTTGAACTTATCTCTAAGTTGGACTTAAATATTATGGTGAGCCAATTGTAGCCATATTTTGACAAATATTCAAAAGCAAAAATTCAAATATTTTAGACTTTTCATAAATTCCACATCAAGAACATGAAATCTCTCATGATAATAGGAAATATAAATGATTTGAATCAACATTTTATGCCTTTTAAAATAACTTTTACAAAATACTTTCAAGGATGCTAATGGCTTTCGATAACTGTTAAGTCCAACTTGGAGATAAGTTCAACTTAGGATCTTTGTGAAACACCCCTCTGCACATATACTAAATAGAAATGTCAATTTCAATACCAGCTTATTCTTTTTGCTTGAGGTCTGACAATCACGCATTTCTAACACTTCTATTACACAAAAATGAAATCACTGAATATTCAATGTCAATTAAATAAAACTCATTTCCAATCTGGTGCCACAATTAATTTGTCTCTCGACAACTGCTCTGACTTCTTGTTCTGTATTCTGTCAAGTAGCGTAATATGGTTTCTTTAAAAACCAAAACCTATAGCGATTTTAAACTTACTTCTTATGATCCTTCTTTTTCTTCTTCGTTTGGAATTATAATGGCTATTATTCGAATTTGACTATTGTTGCCAATTTCATCGCATCTCTTTCTCGTTGGTAAAAAAAAAATCCCAATCTCATTTTAATATAATATTAGTCATAGTCCACCCAGTGTTATGTAACAAAAAGGGAATATTATATCAAATTAAACCACGATCCGCACACAGTTCCAACTCACGCTGGCCCTGTCATTTCTATGATGCCTTCTTACCAGCCCAGCGAGTTACGTTACGCCGTACGCCTCTCGGTTGATAAACTCAACCCCGAAATAATGGTGTCTTCAAAATGACTTTCAATAAAAAAAAAATTTAAAAAAAGAAAAAGAAAAAAGAACAAATTAAGTAGAAATACAAACTACGGTTTGTTAAACAAACCAGTGGTCTTGACATTTAGAATTACATCAACAAAAAACACCATAGCGTACTTGGCTTCAGGAATAGTCCTATAAATACATATTACTTTAGTCATCCTACAACTTTGGTGGTGGTGGTGGTTATTCTCTTTTGGGCATCACGAAAATAAATAACATATTGAGATCTAATGCTTGGTGTAGGTAAATCAACACCCCCAAAATTAGGTTACGGCCCTTTTGACATAAGGCTGACGATATTATATACATCTTGATATCTATTTTTTCATAGTTAATATTTTCAACTTTTTTCCTTTTATTTTCCGGTATTCTGTATCATTAGTCATTAATGATTTTAATGTATTGATTCAGTAGTTCTCAATATCAATTTCCATTATTCTGCTGTTAGGGTGTTCCACCCCATGAGAGGAAAAATAAATGGATGAAAGAATAAACCTCATATGAAAATTGGGTATACAGGATAATGTTGAGAATATTATGGAGATACGTTTCTTGAAGCGTGTGCGCAGTTTAACCTAATACATGTAGATGTCACTGTTTAAGAACAGTTGCTCCCAGGACTACAACAATTATGCCATTCGGAGTTATGCCACTGTACTATCGCACAATATTGTCTGAAAACTGACCAACTAGTTTAAAGGTACTCTGTCCCATTTGCAGGCCAAACAATTCAAAAGGTTACTTTCCAACGGCATTTGAAAGATAATACTAATTTTATAACTTCACAAAAAAATGGGGGGGGGGGGGCTTGAAAATGTCTTTAAGTGGGATAATAACGACTATTGGTTGTCGAATCGATTTAAGTGATACCAATACAGAAAGTAATAGTCTGAATTTTATACCATTGTACCGAACGGTCGTACGTTTTGTGCTGCGCAAAGATTCGATCAGTTTAATCTTGGCCATTACAAGAAGTGGGTTATTGATGTAGACGAATGCTCATGTACCCTTTACATTCATTTTATGTATGTTTTTACCAAAAAGCCAGTCAGTCACTCAATAGTGTCTGACAGTGAAGTCTAGCAAGTAAACGGGTTTCCCTGCATAATTTGAATATTAGGACACTGCTAACGTTAACATCTTGCAGATAAGACACACATGACATATTCATAATTCCTGCAAAACTCTACAGAATTTGATGTTGGCTGCACTAAAGGGACATAGTATCTTTAACATGCAGTGTAGATCCTGAAATGCCTACTTATTGCTAATTTGCCTGTGTGATAATTATGAAATTTTCTTCTAACTGTAAAGTAAACAGCGACTGAGTAAGATTCTCCCCATTCCCGAGTCCTACGCTGGGCATATATATGATAAGGTAAGGTCTACAATGTTGACTAATGTTGAACGTTTTGGATGGACGCCATCCGGGTTGAATTGAGCCACGGTCATATCCCATGCATCTATCAATACAACATGGGGATAATCAGAGAACATTTCTCTCACTATCCTATCCAACGTGTAGATATACCATTCGTTATTTGACAGTAAATGTGACAAATTCTGGAATTCTCGCGTATTTGCACTTTTGATGATGAAAAGCGTCTTGGGGTTACGCTTATGTAGTCTTTCCACGGCTGGGCGTATGATCTGAAGCCTCTGTCTCAAATAGTCCGGGCTGTGTAGTGAAAAATGAGCAGTGATCGAGAGAATGAAAACGTCTGGTGTGAAGGTCATGTGGTCAAGGACATTCACTACACTTTGCCTCAAGCACCTGCTCGGTCCGCCACCATGACCAATAGATGGCAGGCCGTGGAACTTATCATAGATGGTAAAGTTTATCGAGTCACCTTTTGCGTGCTCCATACAGTCGATGGATGGGATCTTTCGAAGTTTGAGAAGTGCTAGTAAATAAGTATACAGCTGCCTTCCCGTTGAATCACCGAGTATGAGGATCGTCTTGTTCTTGAGGCACTGAGCTGCACTTTTGACACTGAACTCAAGGTTCCGACATCGCGTAGAAAACCACTTGTCTTTGTAAAGATAACCAGACGTGATGTTCTCAAACTTGTTGAAACTCCCTGGAAGGCACTTAGGTAACGTCTTCCATTGTTTCTGCCAGGGGAGACGTCCATATTTATCATTTTGTCCTGTTGATACACAAGATTGATATAATAGATTTTTTGAAAATAAGGGAATTTATACTTTTGTATTCCAAACAAAGAAATCTATCTTTGGTCTGGAACGACATGAGCACATAACTTTCTGTAATGTTGCCTAAGGATTAGTTTCGTGTCTATGTATTATACTTCAAGCCTTATGTATCTAACCATCGTTTTAGTGCATGTTTATTGATTTCCAAGTTTGTATGTACACGCTTACAAGCAGACCTCTGTTACAATTTGATTTAGATGCGTCGATGAGGGTAACAAATCTTAAACTCATGGTTTATTTACATCAAGAGTAAATGAGTTATTTGTCTCCTTTATGTACAAATCTTGAAGTGTGAATTCTGCACCCGATTCACCAATTCACAAACGGTAGAATATTGCACCGCTTTATGTAAAGTCACCGTTTTAACTGTACCTAGATTACAATTCCTATTTTAAAGCCAGCTTACGAATAGCTCACAGTAGTAAACCATGTAATTTCATAACCTCACAGGCGGTACAAGTTCTAGACAAGGAGCCAATAGCGAAGGTGGCCACTTTAGACGGTTGGCCTTGGAAGGTAGATGAGCACAACTTCGGTACATGTGAATGACAAAGATCACTGTCTGATGAAGTGGCGATGTATTCGTTTACATCTACATTGACGCCATATAGTCCTCATTTGAGGTCATGAGAGTACACGGATTATTACCGTGAGCTATTCATAAGCCGGCTTAGGGATTATAATCTAGGTTCAGTTCAAACTGTGACTTGTTCATAAATATGGAACAGTATACTACTGTGTGAAAATGGTGAATGTTATATTGGAAGGGAAAATTTGTATACAATTGAACAAACCTTTCGACCTCCCTTTGTCGAGGACATTTATACTGCAATTGTTGCAAGCCAAATATTTCTTGTTGCTGCATAGAAGGACAAAAATGAGATCATGAAGAGACTGTTAGCGCAAAATAAACATACACTGTCGCTCATAAAGGTGGAATATTTTGTTGTTATCCCAATTTATGGAATTATTTTTAAAATAATTTAAAAATAATAGATCTAGATAATAGTATACATTCTCAGATTTTATTGAACAATAATTTGCCAATGTGTGCTTTGCGTGACTTCCAAAGCATATGTATGCTACTATGCTTATCAACTAGGGGACCTATGCCCTTAAGTCATAAATGATAGTAATGAGGATTAATGCCCCACAAAAGGGCACTCATATAGCACATCGACACGGTTTTGATCATGGGGCCTCTCAGTTACGAGGCCATTGTTTTGTCACTGAACCATGACTGTACGCAACGGGGGCTAGGGTAGGGGGCAGTTTCCATAAATTAAAAAAAAAACAGAAAATGCAATAAATTTTCAATAATTTATTGCATTTTACCCCGGTTCCCAAAATAAAAAAAATCTTCTGTGTACCCATGCCTTGAGCCATAATACATGGCCGTCCAGAGGATTTGTTTATGTCAGGGACCGGGGTAAAATGCAATAAATTATTGAAAATTTATTGCATTTTCTGTTCTTTTTTTAATTTATGGAAACTGCCCCCTACCCTAGCCCCCGCTGCGTACAGTCATGGTTCAGTGACAAAACAATGGCCTCGTAACTGTGAGGCCCCAGGATTAAAACCGTGTCGATGTGCTATATGAGTGCCCTTTTGTGGGGCATTAATCCTCATTACTGTCATTTATTACTTGAGGGAGTAAGTCCCCTAGTTTATAAGCATAGTAGCATACACATGCATTAGCAGTCCCGCAAAACACACATTAGCAAATTATTATTCAATACAATCTGAGAATGTATACTATTATCTAGATCTATTATTTTTAAACAATTTTTTAATAATTCCATACGTTGGGGTAAAACTAAAATATTCCACCTTTATGAGCGACAGTGTAGATCATGTAATCTGGACTCAAATTTAGTTTCATGAATACCAATCAGTTTCTATTTTATTTCATATCATTATTAAATTTCCAGGAACACTAAAGATTGTAAAAATAACTAATAAAAGGTAGACGAAGAACAACAACAAATACACTTATAAAGAAAAGAAGCCATCAACTAATGACTACCAAAGACTAAAAGATATCAAGAGTCTGTATACTGCTATCCTCAATAGCTAATGGTATAAAACATGAGAATCAGATTTCCTTTTCATAAGAATTTTTTTTTTGTTTTTTTGTTGTCTCTGGCATTAGTCAGCTGTTGATACTCATCGCATTTTGTATAGATAATTTTAATATGAATTTGCAACGATGGTATTGAATGGGAAAAATAGCCTCTCATTTTGTTTGTGTACAGGCTGTGGATAAGAGAAAGGGGGGAAATAAAATAGAATTTGAGGGCAAGGAATACATATATATGTTATAGGAAAATATAATGGATCATCCCTCAGATCTTTCAAATCATCTTTATCATTTTTATTATTTATTATGTGTTCAATAATAGGTAATACAAAGTTTTGGTATGGGGTCATTTAAGTTTAAATATCGATCGGCCAAATTTTCAAATTTTGGAACAAAAAAACAAAAAAATATGTCCTCTTACCCCCCTCTTATCACAACCACATATTCTGAGATTTTCATGGTCGCAGCTACCATTGTATGGCCGTAGGCGCTATTTGAAAATTCATCAAAATTTGCCTGGAGCACCGGTAAATTTTGATATTTAATTTTTCTCGAAAGCAGAAGTGTTTTAGGAGCTAAATTTTCTAGTGCTTATAAAATATCCGCATGGCATCTAATATATCAAAATTGTAAATAATCACCATCCAGCCAATTTTAAAAATTTCCCAAAACTTTGTATTGCCTTTAGTATAATTCTTACTTACGTAATGAAATGCGCATCTTCCCCAGGTCTTATATATTTGGGTTGCTGCTGAAAGATATATGTGTTGTTCGAATTATGCTTCCACCAGTGCTTGCAGTTTAAGTTTGGATTGGTTGGGCGCACACAATACCAATGGATGTTTGTCTCTTCGTCGGTGTAGTCGCATTCCTTCTCCTACATGATAAAGGGAGAAGGGGAATGACCAAAACATGATCGAGTTTCATTTAGGAATGAGGTAATTAAATTTTTCCGGATAAGGAGTTTTAAGACTCAGTGCTCAATATATTACGAGAACTCTAGCTTCTTTAATCTAGACTAAAGTCACTTACTTTTTCAACACCACATAGTTTTTACAATTTCGTCATTTTTCATTTTCTCTAAATACTGAATACCAATATGTCTCTTTGTCAATGTGTCTTACTTCGTTAATCACAATATAAATAACCACACTAGATAACTTAACCATTTAACTTTATTAAGTCTTCTCTCTTTCACGTCGAGGAATTGTAGCGATTCAGAAAGTTAAACCGCGTGATTGAACTTCGTCTAATGCATTTAGAGAAGTGTGTTATTTATACATTTTTGCAGGTTTTCTTCTACTTACAGGTATAGCAACATGGTCTACATTGCACTCTGTGTCTTCGAGGATGGTGCCATTCAAGAAATGGCCAACGTACGTTCCTCTGTTCGGGAACTCGCGACGCATTCGCTCAAGAATATAAACAGCATCGTTACTGTCGACCAGCATCACCATCACGTCAACACGCCCAGGCCATCGGAGGACAAACTCGGCCTGATATTGCCCATTCCCGAAATCAATGATTTCCCCATCTGATCGTGAGGAGGCCTTGATGTCTTTGGATACCAGCTTCGCTCGGAAGTAGGCACCACCGGTACGCTGAGGGCGCCCTTTAGAATCGTAAGCCTCGATCAATACTTGAATCTTGTCGTTGATATAGTAGGTGTCTTTGTGATTAATTACGTGGTATTTGGAGAAATTCAACGATGTGGTTACCGCGTCAGCTTCATCCTAATGAAAAGTAAAGACGGAAAGGAAGGGCTTTATTCTAGATTTCATTTCAAGAGGTAATAAATAAACAGACCTAAATAAATAAACTAAAATGTTAAATCACAATTTCAAGAGATTGAATTCTGAAAGTTCTGGGAATGACTAATCAAATCGTTAGTGAGCTTTTTAGTTTGAGAGATTAGCATGGTAGAAGATAGCCATGATAAGGACTGCTCTTCAAACGACAACGTAATTATTTGAAAACGACGTGAAATAGCTGAAAGGATTAGACCTAAAAATGTAAGGCAATGTATTTGTCGGCCGATGCTCTATATGCAGTGCATGCATTTTTTTCACATCAAATGTCATTGTTAAATTCTGCTACGTTCTTTTTTAGGATCCCCTACACGTATTGATTCTGCACTAAAACATTCTGTGCATGAAAATTCAATTTTTCAAAGAACACACTTCATTACATCCGCACCTGATATGTGACTTAAAGGTACTATGTCCCATTTGCAGGCCCAAAAAAATGAAAAGGTTAATCTCCAGAGGCATTTGAAAGACAATACTAATTTATAACTTCCCTTTTAAAAAAAAAGGAGGCTTGAAAATGTCTTTGAGAGGGAAAATAACGATTATTAGTTGTCGAATCGATTTAGGAGCTATAGAGCTAGTAAGTAATAGTCTGATTGTTCAGACCATTGTACCGAATGGTCGTACGTTTTATGCTGGTCAAAGATTCAATCAGTTTAATTTTGGCAATTACAAGAAGTGGGTTGCTGATTTTAATAGACAAATGTTCATGTACCCTTTACAACTCATGTTATGTATGTTATTACCAAAGTTGAAAAAGGGCCAGTCAGTTACTCAATAGTGTCTGACAGTGAAGTCTAGCAAGTAAACAGGTTTCCTTGCATAATTTGAATATTACATCACTGCTAACGTTTACATTTCATAGATAAGACATACATGACATATTCATAATTCCTGCAAAGTTCTGAAAGAATTTGACGTTGGCTGCAAAAGGGACATATAGTATCTTTAAAACATATTTTGCATATACCTCTGCAGCGCTTATCAAAACGAGGATACACTTTGAACATAGGCCTATCTCAACAATTTTAATTTCCTGGTATCTGCATGACTTTCTTAAATAAAATTACGAGTTGGGTCGATTTAATTGGATGGCACTAAAAGTATTGATAATATGTCACGCTTGAATGAGCAACGGCTAATTTCGGTTTACAATGGTTCCATAGCAACATATTCAAACATTGCTTTCATTTCAATGTCTTTGATTGTGTTGATCATGAATGGAAGTATAGTGCAGCTGGTGTTTAAAACAGTCACTATGCACATGACGGACAAAGAAAGAGGTCAAAATATACAGTTCCTCATTCTACCCTCAACAATTGCTGTGGTAGACAAAGGAATATCCCTTCACTGCTATTATGTAAAAATGTGTAGAACAGGTGAATATCCATGTGACACCTTTTCTACACATTTTACATAATAGCAGTGAAGGAATGTTCCTTTGTCTAACACAGCCATTGTTGAGGGTAGAATGAGGAACTGTATATTTTTCCTCTTTCTTTGTCCGTCATGTTAATAGTGAGTTGTTACTGGACTATTATGTTGATATCAAGGATAGCCTTCAATATCAGACCCTGGTTCTGTAGACCATGCACTGAAGACTTCAATAAATATTTATTTGTTTAATAAGAGTTTGGAGGAATGATGCAATCATCACAATAAAGCACAACTCTAAATCGGATCCGAGCCTTTACTTATAGCTGGTCTTTTGTCACCATCACTTGCCATTCACCTTTAAAAAAGGTATTTTGCAGCAGGAGTATTTTGAAGCGGTTTAAGACGTCATATTCAGCATGCCAGGCAAACTATTGCCCAAATCAATTTTTGCCAAACTCGGGTCTATTTTTTAATCTTAAACTGTGTTCTCATTCAAAATTTTATCTGCCTACATTTTATTGGTAAAAAAATAACATGACAGAACTTTCGTCTCTTTTTTTCAATTTCAGATGTAATAAAAAATGATTTAGACAACTATTTAATTAATTATTTAAACATATTTTTGGCTTACACCCACTAAAAAAGATCGATTGATCGATCTGTAATTGAAAAACAAGTCAGAAACATCTTGGAACCAGCGGGATTTGAACCTGCCATCTACTGCTCGCCAGGCAGCGTATTTTTTCCCACTTTGAGCTCCGGACCCCGGTATAAACTCATTTGCATACAGGCAATCAGAGCTCATCTTGTCAATAACTATATTATGATGTCTACTAAATGTACCATGTAGGGTTATATATATATATATATATATATAAATCAAACATTCTCCGAATCCAAATAATACCTGTGGTCGAAGTATTGGCTCGCCAGTCAATGAAGAGCGAAAGTGTGGGACAGGAATACTTTCTTTGTCGTTTCCTTCAAAGACCAGACAGGCTGAAAATGAGATGATGAATATGACTGTAGGTACAGTTACCAGGAATAGGTAGTTGGTATGTAGGCAATTGCTGATCTTCATCTTGTGTTAGGTCGAATGTAGACCTTGAACAGGAATAGGAGAGGAGAATGAATTCAAGGACGGGCATGCCTAGTAGGAGAGACCAAGGAGTGATTGACTAAATAAAACATTATATTTTATAGTTATCAAATCATCGAACATATATTTAGCAACCAACGCTTCAGATAAGTGCCCCCTTAACCACCGATACATGCCCCTTTAAAATATGATTAGTGCCCCATCAAATAAAAGACCCCCTCCCCCTTCTCATAAGTGACCCTTCTCTGGTATGTGTAGTAGAGATAAGTGCTTACTCTGCTATTTATTGGCTCGTTACTCTTCTTCGTTTTAATGTATTTCTTTTTCTTTCTTTTTTCTGTATTGTATTGTATTGAACTCGCAAACAATTATTTGTCAAATTACTGCCGTCTTAATTTTAATTGTTTACCTCTCGCTACAGTAAACATTTTCTGTCCCTGTTATTTTTCAAGTCTCCCAGGAACCTTTTCTTTACAAGCTCTGTTTTTCTATAGGTTCCTGCACATTTCACAGTTTGTACTTTTGTCTGGGTTTCCTTTAATTGATATTAGTTATCAAACAAATGTGATGATTACCTTGTCAATTTAATAATATAATCATTTTTTGTTAAGTATGAAACAATATGTATTTTATGTATGTTTTTGTTATCTATATTATTTCTGCATGTGAAATGTGAAATCAATAAACTCAACTTAACAACTCAATTGACCCTTTTCAGATACGAGAAAACACTTCTTTTCACTTCAGAAAAGTGTCCCTTTTCAGGTGCGATAAGTGCCTGTTTTCACCTCTGATAATTTCACTTTTAACAATGATACGTGTCCCTTTTCCTTTGTAATAAGGGACCTGTCCACTTTTCATAAATGCCCCTTTTCATCTCCTATAAATGCCCCTATCAAAATCTGATGGGGGCCTTTTTCCGTCGACAAATGCCAAATTCCTATTCTCATGACTGACTTTTGTCATCCCTAATGAGTGCCTCTTTTTGAGGGTGTAAGAAGTGCCCCATTTTCACCTCTGATAATTACTATTTGTACTTTGACACATGCTCCTTTTCTTTTCTGATGCATGCCCCCTTTCCTCTCATCATTAAACGCGCTCCAAATTTCGAGCAACTAAGAGCAAATTCTCCCAAAGCTCGCTCGCGCGCATCTATAGATGATATACTTATGTTACTTATTAAAGGTCTTTTCAGTCTTCCGCTATGAGAATGTGCTTATAACCCTCATCAGGATTGGGTTTTTCCTCTTTGTAAGATGTAATTTTTCGCACTGCGATCTCACAAATATTAAAAATTTTCCTTCATCGCTTGGCTTGCTCGATAATAATTTTCAGACCATCACACCTAAATGCAAAGCATGACGCTCAATCAATATCTTGTAGTGTGTATAAAGTGAAACAAATATTGAAATCATCCCTGATAATGTAATAAAAAATGTAGGGTATAAACCAATGTCTAAAAGATTGATTATTTTCGCTTTGAGATGTCCCTTTGTAGTAGGTACCCTTTTTCAGAAAGTGCCCTTTTTTCTTGGTGCCCCCCCCCCCAACTTTGGAAGTCGCTCATCTGCCTCTGACAGAGGCGGAGCTCCGGGGGGGGCAGGGGGCACAGTGCCCTCCCATTTTTTCAAATACCCTAAAAGTGCCCCTTTAACTTTGTCAGAAGTGCCCCTTTTAACATAGGAAAAGTGCCCCTTTTATTTTGACACGTACGACTTTTCCATTGACACGTTCCCATTTTCCTTTGCAATAAGTGTCCAATTTCCATTCTCGTAGGTGCCTTTTTTAATCTATAGTAAGTTCCCCTTTTCAGGGATGGAAGCGCCCCTTTTCACTTTTGATAAGCGCCCCTTTCACCTCTGATAATTGCCCTATTCAAATGTGAGAGGTTCCCCTTTTGCTTTGACAGGTTCCCCTTTTCCTTTGTAAAAAGTGCCCCTTCCCCTTTTAATAGCTACCCCTTTTTAACTAAGAGCACCTTATATTTTCACATATGTCCCCTTTCCTTTTTAATAAGTGCCCCTTTTCTGTACAAGAGCCCCGATTTTAAAAAAAAGCCCCTTTTCCTTCTCATAAATGCCCCTTTTCATCTCTTGTTAATGACCCTATTCAATTCTGAGAGATACTCGTTTTACTTTGACAAGTGCGCCTTCCCCTCCTGATAGTGCTCTTTTCATATCTTATAAATTCACCTTTTATTTTGACATGCACCTCTTTTTCTTTTTAATAAGAGCCACTTCCCCCTTTTCATAAAAAAAACATTTTCACCTCCAATAAATGCCGCTATTATTATGATCGGTGTCCCTTTTCGTTCAACAAATGCACATTTCCCTTTATCTTTTAGTGCCCCTTTTTCATTCGCATCGGTGTCTCTTTTCATGAATGGTCAGTGCCCCTTTTCAGATGCAATAAGTGCCCATTTTCACATCTGATAATTACCCTTTTAAAA